TAAAAATTAGAGAGTGGGGGGCAAGTTGTTGGGAAAAATCTAGTTATTTGGGCTTGGTCCAATATGATTAAAGTTTAGAAATAACTAAGACGGTCTGCGAGATACGCATCGAGGGCTGGCCGTAAAAATCGCACGCAGCGATAACATTCAACAAAAAAGAGAATATTCCTAAGAGGAAAAGGATAAAGATGCTAATTCCTACACGAAGGAAGAATAGGAAAACCTAAACGCGAACCCTATAAATAACGGGGAGGAAGAACCCAACAGACACATTAAAAGAGTTTACAACAGAGAGAAGTTCCAGCAATTCAAAGCGAGAACCCTAGCAGCAGCGACCAACGTCCTTATACCCTAGACCTCTAAGATCTTGACCGCTCATTCTCTTAACTGTTGTAAACGAAACATACTAATAAAAGATCTTCGATTGCTTGGTCCACTTTCTCTTTGCACATTCCGTAGGCTTGTTAAACGAATCACATATTTTACTCATGAACTTTAATTAATAATGTATGAAAATTTGAATAGGATTAAACCCCTGATCTTTAATTAATAATGATCTGATTAGAAAACAAAGGTAAAAAAAATAAATCTAATAAACATAAAAGAAAGGAACCTAAAAATAAAAAAAATACGTTGTGAAATTCTAAGGAGAAAAAAAAATTATTCACCTCTACATAAATTTTTTTTCATTCTCTCGATTTCTCACCAAGCATGTCAAAAAATATATAATCTGTTTCAAAGATATACTAGATTTTACTAAACCATAATTCTAACCCGTCCGTCATATTATTATATAATATAATTATTTACTAATTTTGAAATAATATTTATCTTAATATCTTGCATATTTTGAATATAAGACTGAAATTATAAAAAAAAAAAACTAATCCACCCTATCAAATTACTATATAATATTAATATTTATTAGTTTTCAATATGTGAAATTTTATTCTGATTGAATATAATTAAAAAATACAATAATGTCTTCTCTTAATCATATTTGTTTTTCTAAAACTATTATTTAAATTTTCAAATGTTAAATTAAATCTGACCTATAATTAAAGAAGTATAAAATAATTTAAATTAATATCATTTTTTAGAATTAAATTTAATTACAAAAATAGTTTGAATTTTAAATTAAATATGACTTATATTTAAGGAAATCTTTAGTTATCTAAATTTATATCTAATTTTCGAATTTTTTAATATAAAAAATGTTTTCAAATAATATTACAATAATTTAGGATAATTTTAAAACTGTTTTTCAAAATATTTTTTAAAAAATTTTGGGAGTGTTTGGAAGCAAGTACTAAATGTGCTTATGTTTTAATATAATAGATTGATTTTGGTATGATGGAAGAGATAGTATGATTGTTTTACGAAATAGAGTGTATGATGGTGCAATACAGTTTTTTAGAAGAGTTATCAATCCAAAATAAACATATGGGTTACCAATCAAAATTTGAATTTTTGTACTAATAAAATCTGAACTTATAATTTTTATATTTGAATATTTTTTTTATTAACACAATATTATAAATGTGTATATATATTCTAGTTCATATAGAATTAGATATTACGTGGATGGAAGATGTCTAACACGTTTTCACTAATCAAAAATAGGTTTGCCGTTGTTAGCCTGTTAGGTGAAACAAGTTTTCACAATATTAGATTTTTTGTGTTAAAGATTTTCTTTTCTTTTATTTTTTTTTTAAATATGAATACATGTATTATATGAAGTGAAGGTACTCACTAGTCATCAGAACAAAAAGGTTAATGACTAATTTTATTTTATTTGTATTAATATTAGTAGGTTTTGTGCCCACGTTACATGTAGATATTTTATTTATAAAAATTATATACAATCAATATTTATTAAGATAGAAATTTGATATATTAGTGTTTTAGTAATATATCAAAAATAATATGGAAGATGTCTAACACATTTTCACTAATCAAAAATGGGTCTGCTGTTATTAGCCTGTTAGGCAAAACAAGTTTTCACAATATTCGATTTTTTTTTTGTGTTAAAGATTTTCTTTTCTTTTATTCTTTAAAAGTACGAATACATGTAGTATATAAAGTGAAGATATTCACTAGTCATCAGAACGAAAAGGTCAATGACGAATTTTATTTTATTTTTATTAGTATCACTAGATTATGCACCTACGTTATACGTAGGTATTTTGTTCATAAAAAATAATATACAATCAATTTTATTTATTAATATAGAAATTTTGTATATTTGTGTTTTAATAATATATCAAAAATATAAAATATTATGGATAATAATTTTTATGTAAATTGTGAGGTTTTAACGGTTTTTGTTTTGAATCTATATATACATTATGTCATATTTTAAAAACATTTTATTTGGTTAAATACTTATAAGTTAATATACCCAAACCAACTAAAAATTATAGAAATTAATCAAATACTAATTTTTAAATATAGTATTGACATGATGATAAAATATTATACATACACTTCTTTGAATCATGAAGATAATTTTTTTATCATTTTCACTTTTATTCCAATTATATATGTGTTCTTAAAAAATAATAAAAATAAGAAATTTAAAATTTAATCTTTTTCTTCTCTTGTTTAACCAGTACAAATTTTTATTTTGATATATTAATTTTTAAAAAATGAATAAATAAAATGTTTGCTTTGAGATTAATAACAAGATTAAATTTGAAACTAAAACAATAGCTCAATATAAAATAAATGAAAAATCACACAAAAATTGTGAATTTAATATATTTTTGTCAATTGGTTGTGTAAAATTTTAATTAAATAATTTTTCAATGATTATACATCATCTATTCTAATAAGAATGAAAAAAAAAAATTATTATGTTCATTTTTATTCTTGTTATATCTATTTTCCAATGAATATATCATATATATATATTAATTATTTTTGTATGATTATATTCAGTTTCAATATATTTATTCTTACTTGTTTTAATTATAATTAAGTAGGCAAAATCGGTACAATATAATACATACAAATTTAAAAAAATAAAATAACAAATTGAACAACTTAAAACTGAATATTTTACCTATTTGAATATTTTAATTTTAGGTATTAATATGGACTAATAAAATTGACCTATCTGAATTATTCACTAGAAGTTATTAAAATAAACTGTTCAGACGATTTTTCAATGTATGTCGTTGATTCTTGTAAATACTTTTTCACTTACGGCACATTAAATACTAAGAAAATTGCATTCAATATCCATAAAAAAATTACAATTAATAAACTAACCAAAAAATAAACTGAAACCAATATTATTAATATCAACTTTAAATTTAACCACACATATACCCTCATTCTCTTTCATCTCTTCTGTTATATTTTTTTCTCCCTCACACAGATACGGGCGATGCTAGGTTCTAATAAAACTCAGTTGGATCTCAATTATAATATTAAGGCATCTGATGATGAGAAGAGTGGATTATCACCACCTCCACTAATTTCTCTGATCCCAACCATGAAAAGAGAGAAAATAACGGAAATGTAATCGATTTTGGTATGAACATCATTATTTTCATCCAATCAGTTGTTCTCTTGTCTCGCCACTGCTGCTTAGCATCTTGCCGTTCCATTGCATCTTGTCAAGTTTCCTCACTGTGGACTCAAATCGTCTGGCAGCTCCATCCTCCCTTAAATCCAAGGTCCCGATTGAGCCAATTCCTTCTGTATATGTGGGGCTCCACCTTCAAACTATTTTTCTTCTTATTCATTAAATCCATTGATCCTTTTCCAGAAAAAAATCCATCATCAACCTCATCTGCCTCCTCCTCTGATAATCTTCAACTCGTTTACGGCCTCGCTCGTTCTCTCCTGATTCTTTCCATCGACAAAGACGTTAACCCTCTTATGAAACCCTTGTTATGCAATTGGTGATTCTTAAATTGATGGACCTTAATATATGGATCTAGATATTGAATCAAATTGAATTGTAGACGGATCTAATATTCAGACAAGCAGTGTTAGCTCTTCAAGAAGCAGCTGAAAAATATTTTGTATAGAAATTCTATTTTTATTTATAGAAAATTTATTTTTGATGTATAGAACATTGTCCGTTATTAGCTAAGTTATCACGTCATTAAATCAAATTTTTTGTAGAATAATATATTGGTACATTGTAAATGATGATTTAATATATGGATGAACAAAATGTTCAAAAATTTATGTACATATTTTTTTTCTTTGTTTGGAAAATCTATATAACTTGCAATTTTGCTATTTTTTATTTGCTAGTTTTTAAATATGTATAGAACATTTATTTTCTTAAGAAAAACTATTTAGTGACTAGCTCCATCACTAGTATCATCAAAAATCAGTTTATTTGTTTAATGGTGAGCTATTTCTCAATCAACTAGAAAAGCTCCAAAAAGTGGATTCTAAGATTTACTGTCGAGTAAACAACAAATTTTGGATTTTCAGTGAATCGGCATATTTGATTAAAAAAAAATATAAACTTTTTATTGATAAAAATAGATTTGTTATGTTATTGGTGATACTATTCACGTATGGAAAAAAAATGTGTTAGTTTTTAAAAATTTAAATTATGTTAAATGTGAAAATAAATCAGTATTTTTTGTGTAAATATACAAAATTGAATTAATTAACAGAAAAAAAAATAAAATTTATGGGATAATAATATATGTTGTATATAGACTGTCTATGTGTGTGTTAAAGAGAATAAAATCATCCAAAAAACTGGTCAATTGTTACTTGTTTGATTTTAGTATATCCATAAATATATTCTTTACACTTTATTGAGATTAGTTATTCACTTCATTATCCGTAAATACTATCCTATAAATAATTTTAAAAACTGAACACTAAAGTCTAAACAAAAGTAAATTGATGATACAAAAAAACAATAAACAATAATATATGAATCTAGCTAGTCAAATAAAGGCGATAATTGACACCACACCAATAAGGTTCTCATGCCTCGAGAGAGAGAGAAAGAGACAGCTTTTGGTCAAACCCACGATTTCTTTAGAACACAAAGAGATTCAGAAGTAAAACAACAAGAACTCATCTCCGATGATCCTATTCATGTAATAATTGAACCCAACAGAAACAAAGAAAGTTCTCTATGAGATCGAAGTTTCTGGTGTTGTTTCTTTGTCTCTATCTACTCCTTGTCTCTGTTTCTTGTGCCTCTTTCACAGAGTTTGTCTATCCAAATTTCACCGCTTCTAACCTCAGATTCATCGACAGCTCCAATGGAGCTTTCCTCTTCTCCCGTAATTCAATCTTCAAAGCCGGTTTGTTCAGTCCCGGCGGCGATTCCTCTACCCATTTCTACTTCTCAATCATCCACGTCGATTCCGATTCCACAATCTGGTCTTCAAATAGCGATTCTCCTGTTTCAAGCTCAGGGAAAATGAATCTTTCCCCTCTAGGACTCTCCGTTATCGAAGATGGTAAAGGTCAAATACCCGTTTGGTCAACGCCGGTTTTAGCCTCTCCGGTTTACTCTCTTCGGTTAACCGACGCCGGAAATCTGCTTTTGCTCGATCGATTCAACGCTTCTATATGGGAAAGCTTCAGATTTCCCACCGACACGATCGTTCTTGGACAAAAACTCCCGCTCGGGATGTCCTTGTCGGGATCCACCTCACTGTACAATTTCTCGACGGGAGATTATAAATTTGTTGTTGTTGAATCCGGCGGTTTTATGATGTGGAAGGGACATAATTATTGGAAGCTAAGGATGCATACACGAGCTAACGTCGATTCCAATTTTCCCGTTGAGTTTCTAACGGTCACTACTTCTGGTTTGGCTCTTATGGGTCAGAACGGGACGACGGTGATAATCCGCGTGGCGTTACCACCGTCGTCTGATTTTCGTTTAGCAAAAATGGATTCCTCTGGGAAATTCATCATTAGAAGATTCTCCGGTAAGAAAATGGTGACTGAATTCTCTGGTCCGACGGATCTATGTCAGATTCCGTTCGTGTGCGGTACGCTCGGGATTTGTCATCTTGATAATGATTCAGAAAACAAGAGTTGTTCATGTCCGGATGAGATGCAATTGGATGCGGGGAAGAAGACATGCGTTCCTGTTAGCCAATCATTGAGTTTACCTGTTTCTTGTGAAGAAAGTAAATTTTCGTACTTGGAACTCGAGCTCGGTGTGTCTTACTTCGCTACTCATTTCACAGATCCTGTGGAACACGGTTTCGAGTTATCGGCTTGTCATGATCTTTGCAGTAAGAATTGCTCATGCGTCGGTGTTTTCTACGAGAACACGTCTCGGTCTTGTTATTTGGTAAAGGACTCGTTTGGTTCTTTGTCTCTAGTCAAGAACTCACCAGATAATCACGACCTTATCGGATACGTCAAGTTGTCTTTCAACAAAAATTCGATTGCTCAATCTCCTGGAAACAAAAACAGAGGATCTAATTTTCCTTTGATAGCACTTGTGCTCTTACCTTGCTCTGGCTTCTTCCTTCTGATCGCATTGGGGTTTCTCTGGTGGCGAAGATGCGCCGTAATGAGATACAGCAGCATACGTGAGAAGCAAGTAACTAGACCTGGTTCTTTCGGATCAGGAGATCTAGGATCTTTCCATATCCCGGGTTTACCTCAGAAATTCGAATTTGAAGAGCTCGAACAAGCAACCGATAATTTCAAGATGCAAATAGGATCAGGAGGATTTGGTGCAGTCTACAAAGGAACTCTCCCAGACGAAACACTTGTTGCCGTCAAGAAAATCACAAACCATGGACTTCACGGTAGACAAGAGTTTTGCACGGAAATCGCAGTAATTGGAAATATCCGACACACAAATCTAGTGAAACTTCGAGGCTTCTGCGCTCGTGGGAGGCAATTACTCTTAGTCTATGAGTACATGAACCATGGATCGTTAGAAAAGACTTTGTTCGGAGCCAACGGTCCGGTTCTTGAGTGGCAAGAAAGGTTCGATATAGCTCTCGGGACGGCTCGTGGGCTCGCGTATCTCCACAGTGGCTGCGACCAAAAGATTATACATTGTGACGTGAAACCCGAAAACATCTTATTGCACGATCATTTCCAGCCGAAGTTATCTGATTTCGGGTTATCAAAGCTTTTGAGCCAAGAAGAGTCAAGTTTGTTCACCACTATGAGAGGTACTCGAGGCTATTTAGCTCCCGAGTGGATAACAAACACTGCTATCTCTGAGAAAGCTGATGTGTATAGCTATGGAATGGTGTTGTTAGAGCTAGTGAGTGGTAGGAAAAACTGTTCGTTCCGGTCTCGGAGCAATAGTGTGACGGAGGAGAATCATCAACAGTGCTCGTCGACAACGACTTCGAGTTCTGGCTTGGTGTATTTCCCGTTGTACGCTTTGGATATGCATGAACAAGGGAGGTATATGGAATTGGCGGATCCAAGGCTAGAGGGTCGGGTGACGAGCCAAGAAATTGGGAAGTTGGTTCGGATAGCTTTATGTTGTGTTCACGAGGAGCCGGCTCTGAGGCCAACGATGGCAGCGGTTGTCGGGATGTTCGAAGGGACCATACCGTTGGGGAATCCGAGGATGGAATCACTGAATTTTTTGAGGTTTTATGGGCTGAGATTCGCTGAGTCTTCTATGGTTGAAGGTCAAAATGGGGAGAGTGAAAATATGGTTTTTCACCGGCGAGAAAGCTCTAATAGTGGTGGCTCTAGGCTCTCTTCTTCATACGTGGCGTCTCAGGAAGTGTCGGGTCCACGGTGAGCAAATAGCTGAGGATTGTGAAAATTGAATCAATATATATTTTTTTTAATTTGTTTTTGGTTTATGCTTTGTTAATAGCCCTTGTTGACATATATGATCATTGTTGGATAATGTTGCATAGCAATTACAAACAAAAGTGATTCTACAGGAAAATCGCATAAAAAATCTTTTAAGTAATTTTCAGTGAGATTTTAAATTTTGAGGATATTTTATCCATATTGTAAGCCTTCAAACTAAAGTAATATATTATATTATTTCATTTGTGAAGTGAGTTGGACTATGGTCCAAAATTCAGATGAATGTCGTTTTGATTAATAAAATTTTTATGTTTTGATTGATCAGTTAACGTTATATTCTAATTGATTGATGTTAATTAATTATTATTTTCTGTGTGTGTTAAATTATACTTATGCCACTAATGAAAATACTCTATTTTGATTGGTTAGTTGATTATTCTATATTAAAAAAAAGAAATCTGATTAAAAGAAATCTTATCTAGTTTAGACCCAACAAAATATGGACCAGAACTCATGACAGAAAATAAATGGTCAAATACCAGTTTTGCCGATAATAAAATATATACTTAGCTGTTGATTGGTTAACAAAAAAATAACACAAGCTGCGTTGGTTAGTGATTTGAATTCTTATATCATAGGTAGCAAGTTTGAACCTTGAACTAATTTAATCAAGTTTTTTTTTCACATTCCTCTATTTTGAAATCAATTTATCTGATTTAATTAATAAAAAATAAAAAAACATTTGTTCAATTATCATATTTAGAAAATGGATTTTCATGTATAAAAAAAGAAAACTGACTTTGTTGTTTGTTCAAATCCGAAAAAGATATTTTATTTTATGTGTAAGTAAATATTTTAGAGCAGAATGATCAAGTCCTATCTATTATCCAATTATAGAAAAAATATCAAAAATAAGTTTTGATATTTACCTTCTCTAAATTTATTATTTCCTCTAATTATACTAAATAAAAAACCAATTAACATATATTAAAATTAAAAAGTTATAAATATATTAAAAACCAAATGATAAAGTCATATTTTGGCAAACAATAAAGTCATATTTAAGTTTTTTTAATGATTTCAGTCTTGAAGAGCGAGATCAAAAAATTTATGGAGTTCCAGATGTAGTTTCAAATTAAGATCTATCAGGTTATAGACAGATTCAGAACAATTATGATGGAATAGTGAAGCTATAGTCTACTTTGATGCCCTTTTTCGATTTTGATCACGAGGAGAAGGGAGATGCATGGGGAGATGCATTTTTACTGTAGTAGGAGTTTAATAATATTGCAAGTAATATATATATATATATCTTAGTAAGTTACGTCTATATAGCTATGGTGTTCCAAATATTCCACCCTTGATATTCCATCTTACTATGAAATTGCGTTATCTTTGGAAAAGCTTACCAATGAAAAGTTTATGGAATTGCAAAAATGTAAGATGCTTATCATTTCATCAACTGCCTCATTGTTAAGAACTAATGTTGAGTCTTAAGCCAAAAAATTTACTATCACATAGCACACTTTTTCATAGTAAAACATATGAATGAATAATTTATCTTTTGTGTTTGATCGTACAGGTGGCTGAAGAAAAAAAAATGTCGGTTACTGATTTTAAATGGCGGAGTCATCATTGGTATGGTTTATTGTGATTGGCAATGGATTGATTTTTCTATACATACTTTGTTAACTTTGGTCAATGTTTCTTCGTTTTATTGAACAAAATTTATGCAATGGAATAATTTAGCTTTATCATTTAAGCAATTTTGCTTATTATACATTTTCAGTGAAACTCTGGCCTTGGAGAGACTCGGGTATTGGCTCATGTTTTTACTTATGAGGTATTTCGTTTTCGTTTGTGTGTTTGGCATTGTATGCAATTTTGGTTGGAAATTCTCACAGCTTATGATGTGCGTCTCTGATTTTTTCTTAATTTCTATAGATATTTTTCCATACGAGTATTTGGTTGATGGCCTTGAACCTTTGGGAAGTGAATGTGTATTAAAAAATTTTGGATGATTGTTTACAGTTTGTAGCGGAGAAACCAAACCTGACCATCTTCTTGGTTTATTAATTTCACTAGGTGTCGTCCCACACTACGCGTGGGTTTTCTTTACATATTTTTGGTAATTTTGATTATATGAAAAACTGAGCTAGATGAAGTCATAATTTGATCTTTAGTATTTGGCTATATATATATGAGTGATATATTTATATATGAATCTCCTTTATATAAAAGGGATTGATTTCCTAGTCTCTCAGCTATGCCACATCAGCAAAAATAATCACCAAAATATTCCTCCAATCAGAGTTTCTCAAATAGACATCTCAGAAATTACTTTTCCAAATCCTCTATCAAAACGTTACAGCAAATATCTAACCACCACAAACTACAGCCCAACAAAAGGTGAAAGGATTCAGGCCCAATAGAAAAACCCAAAAGTTTACATAACAGCCCAACTTACAATCCATGTGACCTTGAAGCCACTCCCCTTCCTCCCTTCTCCAATTCAGCTGCCGTTACAAAAACATGGTAGCCTTAAATCACACCACGTACACTATATCAATTCTCCACCTTCTTTTACTGTAAATGCCACTATGTCTAAATCGAAACTGCAGAGAAATGTAATGGGTCTTCAAATTGCACCACCCTTTCATCCTCCACTATATAAACGAAATATGCAATCCCCGGCGGAATCAATTCGGATGAAGAACGAACTATCCACGTCCAATCATTTTTAAGGTTTGTGATTACTTTTCCCTCCTTCTGAAGTGTATATAGGATCAGTTGCTTTAGCTTCTAGAAATTTATCGGTAATATAGTTATAGGTAATCAAATTAATTTTTTGTAGACAACATATTAATTACTTTTAAAATTAGTTTTCCGTTTTTAGAAGCTGAATTAGAGTTTTGCAAATCATATTGTTGTGTATTAGAAGTGATAGAGCTTTTAGCATCCTTTATTGTCAGTCCTATAAAAAATTGATGAATCTTAGCCAACGACTTAGAAGACAATTCTTACTTTCCTTAAACGAAATTTTTAATTGGTATTTTTTATTTAACTATTCTGTGAGTTAACAGGAAATTTAATAAATAAATAAAAAAGAAATTTTCCCCTTTAACAATTAAAATACCCAGTCGTAGATCATAACTGGGTATGGAGTAAAACGGTCCAAACTCATTTCAGGTCTAGTGTGTGTGGGGATGTTGCGAGAGAAGGTTCCAAGGATTAATGACGTATTCTCTAATTTTATCTGCAAATTGATGATATATTTAATATATGTTTAAAATTATTATTGTTTAAGAAAATGTGATATATGTATTTAAAAAATTACTCCTATTAGATCAATAATTTATTATAGCGAATGTTTATAGTCTTTTTACAGAATATTAAAATTATTATTGTTTAGGAACATGTGATATAAGTTTTTTAAAAAATCATCATTTAAAAATCTACAAAATATTGAAATTTTAACATATAATTGTATAATTTAATTATCAATAAATTCAATATGTAATTATAATTATGTATTTTTCATATAAATAGCCATTTTATATTTAAAAGTAGTTAAAACATTTGTGTCTGCGTATGGCGTAGGCAGCCAATTAGTTATGTTTTAAGTATGCTCTGAAAAGACGTGAAAGCCCGGAAAACACGATGGAATGGTGTTTTCCGATGTCTCTCCGAAGTTCAAGTCAAAAACAGTTTAAGAAATGACCATAAGTGGCAAATTGGAGAGATGGAAAGAAGATCAGAAAACAGAAAAGGAAAGCCGGCCAAAAGCTCTTAAAAAAGGGTGAGTCTTTTCGGACCTGAGTTTAGTGGATTTTTTTAGGTAGAAAAGAGAAAAAGTGTAAGAGTTTGGGGTTAGATGAGCTTTACGGCATATGAGCAACCATGAAGGTGACCCATGAGAAAATGAGACTTAGTCTCGGAAGTGAGGAAAGCTGAGTGTTTAGAAGAAAATATCTCTAAAGCTCCTTAGTCTCACAGTGATCTATATGTTAATATGAAAGTTAGGAATCCGCCATGAAGATGATCAGAATTTGGCCGGAGAAGAGACTTGAGATCTCATAAATAAGAAGTGTTAAGTGTATAGAAGTACTCTACTTCCTCACAAATATATATATGTGATAATATGAGTCAAGAAGGGTGAATCAAGAGAGTGGAATCAAATTTCCTTTAACGTTTGAGGATGGGAAGTATTTATAGAGTTTTACGTGGCTCAGGTTAGTATATCGGGTCAGATCCTGGTTGTCTGGTTGTTGGGTCGGATTCGATCTCGTTCGGGTTTGATGATTATGACATACGCCTGTCTTCGTCTGACTTTCTCACCTACTTTCCTTGGCAGTATCCGCCCGTTTCCTGATGCGCCTTGTTGTGTCGCTATCCTTCTCAGAGTACAATGTTAAGCGAGGTATGGGCATCTCATATATTGTTGCTCTTCCCTATAACACAAATATTGCCACTTTCTCCTATCAGGTGTAAGCATAAGGCATTAAATTCATGTCCATGGTGATTTGCTGCATTTCCAGTCTGGATGCTTTCTCAACATTATGTTCTTCTCGTATGTCCCATTTTATTTTATTATTCCTGATTTTAGGCTCCTCCCTGGCAGAAAGGGGTTTTATCCTTACTTATGATGTGTTGTTATGCCTTATAAGCTACGACCCTAAATATTTGGTTGTCCAAATGCGTGTTTATAGCGTTTTAACAAAATTATTTTGTTTGCGATTAATAAGAGCAATCGTAGCGAGCATATTTGTATGACTAAGGAGGTGAAGTATTATAATTTACAAAGTAAAAGAAGAATGAGATAAAAGTGAAAGAAGACTTAGCTGGATTTTGCGTGTTGAGTATAAAAGTTTTTGGGCATCCAGGGAATCTTGTCCCTTCTCCTTCCTCGTAATTGTCTTTGTAGAAACTATCAGGAGTTTGGACACCTTGTGGCAGGAAATGTATAAATTTTGATAACATCATATTTGTATTCATTTTCACTATTAATTTCAAATGCTTTTTCAAAGGTTTTAATTAGTTTTAGGATATTTTATTACTGTTTTTCTATATTTGTAATTTCAAGACTCTTTTTAAAAAACTTAGGGAACAACATGACACAATGGAGGAAATCTATAACCAGCTGGTTGAGTCAAATGACTCAGGACAAATATCCAAAGT